TTCCACAACAAAATATTCCCCTCTAGGACCTCTTTTTAATGCCACCCTAGATTCGCGAGGGTCCTTGCTTGACCACTCACTTTCTAAATCTTCTAAGGCATCAGACACATCCAACGTACAGAGTATAGTTTGGTCTGGATGAGTCTGTAGGGTGACTAAAGAGTCATTAGCTATGGCCTGCTCATGAAGTGGGGAGGGTATCTGGCCCACTTCACCATGAGTAGAAGCAGCTAAAACTTCCACCGGCCTCACATGTTTCTCGAGCTTGAAGCCTGGGAAGAAGGTACCCCAACCTTAGGAGGTATCTTCTGCGTGACCTTTGCGTTCTTGCACTTGTACTGGGTGTGTCCGTATTCACCACAGTTAATGCAAGCACCAGGCACTCTACAGTCCCGCCACACTTCCTGATCAAGACCTGCCTTGACCCAATCAGCAACTTTGGTCTAGTTGGAGGCGGCCTGCCCTTGACTCTTTTGATGGCCCTTCCCTCGGCCACCAGCCTTAGTCTTTACAACTGCGGCGAGGGTGCTACCCTCAGCGGTCTCCTCGTCGTCGTACTCTGTACTATCCAACAGGTCTGAAAGCTCCTCGATCTCGGTTTGAGTCCCATCATACTCAACCATCATCAATCGACTCCCCTTCTTCTTCCACTCCTGTGGGCTCTTCTTCTTCCTCGTGTCTACCTGAGTAGACTGAGCACTTCCTAGAGTTGCCTCTAAGTCTAAGGCTTTTCTAGATAAGGTCTCAAACGAATGATACTCGAGCCGAGCCTCGCTGGCCAGCAAGTTCCTGAGATTCTCGGGTAGACATCTCACGAACATGGTCAATAAGACCTGGTCATCGTAGCGTATGCCTAGCACGACAATAAGGCTCTCTATGGTAGACGTTAGCTCTCTAACTGACTTAAACTTTCTTTGGGCTAGTCTGAGCATCGCATCAGTGGCAATTTGTGCTTGCTGTGGATTATGCCAGGGAGCTTCTACCATATCTAAGAACTCTTCTAACGTAAGGGTCTTAGCCCAGTCCGCCATACGTCGTCCGAACACGGCCTTCGCTACTAATCCATCAAGCCATTTGGTTGCCTTACCCTCAAGGTAAGATGCAGCAGTAATCACCTCCTCCTCCTGCAAAGTCCTTTTTGCCCTTACCCACACTGAAACTGTTCTCAACCAAGTGTTGAGTTCCTAGTCCTTCTTCTCTCCGGAGAAGGCAAGGGCCGGTTTCATAGGGGTCTTTGGGTACCGATGACCTTGCTGTTGTCCCTGTGGTGGAACAGTTTGTTGCGGCTGTGGAGTAGCACCTGCTGCAGGACCAGAAGGAGAAGAAGCAACAGTTTGTGCGGCTGCTGTAGACGTCCCACTTGGCTGTGTGCCAGCTTGTACCAGAAAGGGGCTTGACATCGTCGTCAACGGCAACGGCGACTGTGCTGCTGGTCTAAATCCTGGCCTTTGCAAAAGGTCCAAGATCTGGTCCAAAGAGTTTTGCATGAAGTCTAGTCTGCTGTCCACATGCGCATGCAGCGATAGTACGCTGTTCTTCAGTACAGTCATGGCTGACTCATCCAAACCCTCCAATGCAGCTTTGTCTGCCTCTAACGTATCAAGCCTGGCTGTTCTATTTTTTATTTCCTTTTCTTTGTCGGTAGCTTGCTTCAGTTCCCTCTCTAACCGCCCGCAGATCCTTTCGATTGTTGGAGCTCTAGGAGCTCCCTGCCGCGTGGGGTCAAAGGGCTAAACTGCGAGCCCGCCATTTGACTTGTGGACTGACCAGCACCTACTGATCCAGAAGTACCCGCGGGCCCTGAGGGCATTCCCAACTGGGTCCCAGACGAGGACGCAGCAGAGGCTGCGCTGTTAGCCATTGCTGCTGCTCTGGCTGCTGCTGCCTGCTCTCTAGCTGCTGCGTTTGCTGCTACCGACGCCTGACTTGCAGCTAGTGCTGTTTCCCTGGCTGCTGCGAGAGCGCGGGCTCTGCGTTCGGCACGAAGCCGTCTTTCATCTTCCGGTTGTAAGGTCTGGAACACGTGCGGGACCCTAAGTGATCTCGAACGTGTTAGTCTCACATCGTGAACTCCACCCTCATCGGTGTCTGACCCGCTCATCAGTTAGGCAAACACTATCTGCACTACAACTCCCTGCTGGAGTCTTACCACAGCATATGTCTGACCGGCACCTAATTTTCTAAAAATAATTGTGTTCGGCAGGTCCCCTACTTGACCGATCAAGTGGCAGCCTACAATATTCACAAAAGACTGTCAACATAGTTTAGTTCTATCATAAGTAGTTCACTTACAGAAGCTTGCACGGAACTGGTTATGGTAGTATACAACAGTTCTATACTGTGAGGTGTTAGCAGTCTGTCAACCAACTAATCAACAATAAAACCAGACTAGGTTGCAGATGTATGAACAATGGATATAGTTATGTTTACAGTTGAGCACCAATTAGAACCTACCCTCCCCTCAATCCAACATACCGAAGAGCATCTTTGAGCAGCAGTGTCTTCGTGTGTAATGTCGGCCCACCCCTTTGCCCCAAGTCATTGCCGAGCAAGCCAGCCCATCCACTCTTATTTACCCTCGTACGGAACGAGCCTTACTACCCTGTTTGATCTGGCTGATCAGGAGGGATTTAAGGAGAGCCCCCATCTCCTCAGTAATTATTTAACGTCGCAGACAGGACGACGATCACAGCCAGTATCAACACCGAGTCCCCTGCGAGAAGTATTTATAGACGGTCTGGTAAGCGTCTCTTATGGGCTGGCACACCGGGCACGACTTCTATAGCGCAGCAAAGTGCCAAAATGGACAAGCAGCCATCGCATGCGTGACCTACTCCCATTGGGTTGGCATGGTGACTGTGACCCAAGTGCTTCGACCAGGGCCCTTCAGAGGCACTGTCCTTTCTCCTTCCAGATGCTTCCGGGAAGATTGTCGTCTCTCAAGGTAGCGCGCATTCGACACCTCACCAAAAGAGAGGACTCTCAAGTTGGACTCACTTCCTTGCGGTAAGAAGAGATTGAGAGGGTAGATAAGGTAAGGGAACAACGTACCTGGAGATAGCTGCCCCCAACCACAGATTTCTCACCAATTGAGCTAAGTGTGCATTTGATGACCGGTCGTAGCCTCGGTACCACCCACAACGCAATGTAGTGCCACCTCAGCTAAATGCCACATCAGCATGCTCTCATCACCAATCATACATTTTGCTGTAACCATGGCATCCCAAGCCGTATAGCCTTCTGGCGCACACCTCTCTACCCAGGTCGTGCGCCTAACGTTGGCCTGACGTCACAAGAACCAACTGCGAAGAAGCATCGTCAACGCACCGTCTGTATAACGCCAGCGCACCAAGGTAAGTGGCGAATCGAACCAGCTCCGATACCAAAATGCAAGGAACATGAATGTGGACGAAGCACAGAAATCCAGATTGCAAAATCACACTGAAGTCCAAGTAGTCAAAGCAAGAGCAGATAGCACAATGGAACCGAGTAACCATCCATTTGAGAACGATACAGAAGAATCGTGAGTCAATGTCCAAGCCCAATCGGGCAACACCAACAGCATAACCCAATGTAGCTCTCTCTCTTGAATGGCGCCAGGCGCCCTACCTAATCTACAGCCTATCACTACAACTACAGCATGGAAGCAACCAGACAACTTGACGACCAGCTAGTGATGATGTCAACACCAATGCCGACCTCCTCTCCACCAGGTACGTCTCTCTCTTCTCCCTCACTCTCCCTTGTTATCCCACACAG